ACACTCGCATTGAAAAAGAATAAAGACCACGTGTAGACCTGGAAGCTCCCCCTAAGCGTGAGCTCCACAAGCCAGAAGTGACATCACCAGGAGTCAAGCCCAATGCATTTCATCAACGTCTTCAAGTGTTTTACTATATAAATTTGGCATTGTATGCAATTTTAGTTTTATAGGTGGTGACAGCGCTGTGTATATTAATTATTAACAAGATACAAAACGCTCAATTGTGAATGGGGCCTGAGCAGTGAAATTATGTGTTTTTAATGTACGTTTCCTAGCCGTGTTTTGGGTGTCATTACAAGTTAATGGCATAGGAACGTGCAGGTGTGAATATAGCCTAAAGCGGAATGTCAGGTTGATCTGTATTACATAGTTACATTGGTCCAGCCTGGCACCTTAGATATACCAAAACTGTGTAATATGAGGACCTACCCAAATTATCCATTCAATCTATATCCAATCAGGCAGGAGGATGTTTATCATGGTCAGTTATGTTCCACAGGCATACAAACATTTTTCACAGCCAGTTCTGCCAACATTCTCTGATGTCTGTAGCAGTGTGGATTTGATTTAAATCAAGTTGATTTAAATCATGATTTAAATTTCTAATGAAAAGGCTTGATTTAAATCATAATTTTTAAAGAACTATCATCCCTGTCCCGCAGCAGCTCCTCCTCTGACCTGCTGTTTGCTCACCAACAGTCCCATTCACTTTAATGGGACGGCTGGTGATGTGGCAGTGACACAAGGTGAGGGACGTGGCGGCAGCAGGTGAGTGGATGCCTGCCAACAGGCGCTGCCATGATGGATCTGAAATGACAGGTGCTCTTTAAATGTAAAAAATTTGACTCATTCTTTCTGGTAGTTACAATCTTTAATATTTGCAAACCAAATGAAGGTTTCCTTTTTAGAATAATAAGCTGTCAGGTTAGTAAAACAGCCATATCAGAACCAATTTTAGGTTAATCTCACATAGTTGAACTACTCAAAATCTTTTATTTCATGTTTTTCCTCATGGTTACTATGAAATTGTGTGAATGCATCAATGCAGTGCATGTTATTTCCACTTGCAGAACTTGGATTCATTGAATGAGTTTACCAAAAATGTAAATATTGCAGAATATACAGCCTCATGCTACATAACTAAGCTCCATTTCATGCTGAATAAACTAAATTATCAATGTATCTTGGATTTTTACTCCAAAAGCATTTTCGTAAAATAAATTTGATAAAAATCAAAAAAATCCAATTTAAATAAAAAATAAATCTGTTTTTTTTTTTTGTTTTTTTTTTCTTAAATCATCGTTTTTTTATCCACCCTGGTCTGTAGTCATCTTAAATGATACCTGTCATGAGAGAAACATAGAGGATGCCATTGCTGAGATCTGTTTCTGAAAATGCTAGCTACCCAGTATGACTACTGTGAGACACAGGCCTGAAACAAACATGCAACAAATGAAAGTTGGAACTCCTGGCTTTATAATTGTATTCACACATTGCTCTATACAAAGCTTCATAAAAAACCTATAAGGCTTAAGCAGGCAATACATGGATTGAAATATGGCTGGTTTTGCAGGAACCAGTCAAATTTCAGTCCATGTATGAGCAGGGAGTCTGTACAGAAGTCAATCTACAGGTTGACTTCTGTACAACCACCCTGAGAAATTTTCCCCCTCTCGATCAGCACTGCAGGCTATAGTGGGCAGCACTGTCAGTGTATTGTGATTGCAAGGAAGTCTCCCGTGGACAGAATACAATAGCTCAGCAGGGAGGATTCCTCCATCTACATTAACATTTTTGTTTGTTTTTTTTCATTCAACCTGCTGGTTGAACGAAAAAAAAAACCTCACCTATAGGCTGCCTTAGTCAGTAAACATATCCCTCCATTTCTCATAAAGAGCAAATACTTGCCCCACATGTATTGACGGGCACCAAACTGACAATCATCAGGATCGTGAAAGCTACTTCCTAATCTAGAATTGCAGGGTAAACCTAAAGAAACCTTAAAATGCCCCTCCCCCTCTACTAACACTTATGCTGATTTCCCTAATAAGAAAGATCTGCTCACTTAGCCATTTTCAGCTGACTCCAGTCATGTGATCTCCCGTGTCAGCCAGCGGCAGCTCTATAGGGGAGTGAGAGCTCAACAACAGCTGGTAAAGCTTGGAGTGGTGGCATCACCCATAGACCCCTTATGACCCATTCGTTGTTGGCGCTCTCTCCTCTCCCTGGCAGCTGCTGCAAGCTGACACAAGGGGGCCGATCACATGACTGGACCAGAGAGGGATGAAAGTGGGTAATTATATGTACATCTTTCTTACACAGGTTATTCAGTATAGTTGTTAGGAGGGGGAGGGAGCATTTTTAAGTCTCGTTAGATTTAGCCTGAAATTCTACTTTAAAGTTTAGCTAAAAGAAACCCCTTTTTTAAATATTCAGATAGAGAGTGAATCTCCCTAATTTGTCTCACACTCTAAGGACATCTTTACACTTGTGTTGCTTCCTGAAGTGCGGTCTGTGGTGGCGTTATGTCATTTCCTCACCACCTGTTTTTAAAAACTCAAACACAACCCACACCACATGGTGGATCACTCTTCAGAAGGTATTGCATGGGGTTGTAGCGCAGCCCTTTTTCAGTTGAATGGGTCATGTTCAGCAGGTAGATACATTTTGCATCAGCATATGTACACCCCTGTCCACTACCGAGGGGGAGCGGTCGAGGGCACAACCACAAGTGTAACTGAAGTGTAATTGTCCTGATCACCAATGACACCAGAAATGAAAATGAGGGTAAATCCAAAATATCTGAATTGCCACCAGAACAGGAATAGAGGGGAAATCTTCCAATAAGTACATTTGTAGTGACAACTGTCTGAAAGGGAATTTCCCTCATGTTAAAAAAAGATATCCTCTCACCTTCTGGACAAGAAGTAAAGGGAAATCTCTATAATTGGACACAGGTCCCATTCATATTGTTGCTTATTATGAACAAATGGTTAAAAATCCTGACATGGTTCTTATAGATTCAGCGTTATCAGGAATGAAAGTGAGGCTAAATCCAACATTTTGAGTTGCCACTAGAATAGAGGGGAAATCTTCTAATGGAGACACAATCACTATGACAGTAGTCACTAGGACAATTTGAAGGGGGGAAACTTTCAGTGGGGGCTTAACAGCAAAAAGAAAATCAGACAACACTTGGGCTAGTAGTACATAGCCACATTCAACTGGACTAGGTCTGTAATGCTAAAAATATTCTGCCATCATCTAAGTGACTTCATTCGTTGCAATAAGTGTAAGGAATGTATCCAGCATTGATTTATTTATTAGCATGTGGCTAACTTGGACACCTCAATCCAGTCATTATTATGTCATGTAATGAGTCAAAGCAGATGATCATTATCCAGGAGCATTATGGTAAGTGTGAAAGTTTGTAATACTACCCTGTGCTTTTTCATCACTCATTTACCATTGTAGACCGCAATGAAAAGGAAACCACACACCAGTAATTGATCTGAAAACTCTTTACTGGGTTATCAGGTGGTAAAGCTATACATACATGGTGCACGCCTGGAACCTTTCTCCATGTTTGCAAGTTTGAAACATTTACCATTGTGCCTTTACATGTTGAGACAGATGGGTTACATTGCTGAAGAAACGCATTCTCCACTCCAACATTTTAAAAACCTAGTTTTGGCTTAGGTAAACGTTAAAGTACATTGTACATATTTCGTGTTAGAGGACTTGAAAATGTATGCTAGGAAGGTGTTTCGTATAAAAATAAATTTGATTTTCTCATATAGTCATAGATCTTTGCAGTATGTACAATCACCAGACCGGAATTCCCCAAGGCGTGGAATCTAAGCCCCGACCTGCTTGTTCACCAGGGCCCCTGATGGTGGGGACGGACTTGGAGCAGGCCAAAACCAGGTCGCAGCCCCTGGGTGCTCCCAGCTGTGGTAGAAGCACTGGCCCCAGAGGTGTATAGCAGGTGAGAGCCTGATGTAAGGAGGTAGAAAGAGCAGAGTCGGGCAGGCCGGGTCAGAAGCGGTGGAGGCAGAATGGTACAAAACAGTAGACAGAAGGATAAACTGGTCACAATCCGGGGACGGTAACAGGAGATCAAAACGCGCAGGAATTAGACAGGAGAATGGTCAGGTAAGCTAGCGATCAGAGCAGGAGACAGTCAGCGAATCAAGGTCAGGCAGGGTCGGCAACAAGGCAATCTAATTCAGGAAACACAGGATACAGATAAGACCATACGGCAATTAGAGCACAGACCTGAGCTGTTTAAATAGGGCGCCCTGATTGGTGCCAGGCACGTGTCTGCAAGTGCGAATGGGCGACCGCCGCTGCCGTCGCGGGTGCCCAGGTCCCAATGATCGCACGCTAGTGCGCCAGGCATACCGCGCATGCGCAGACCCGTGCGCAATCGTGGAAAGATCTGGGGTCCCTGACAGTCATTTTTCACCATTTTGTGGGCACATGCAGTTTTGATGTCTGACATTCATTCCACTAGCTCCACACAACCTTCATCTTTTATTGCGTTTGTGTGCACTCAAATTCATTTGTTTGTTTGTTTTTTTTTAATATACATTTGATAAACCGCTGTACAAATATGGTGCGACATAAAAAAATTGCAGCAACCATTTTTTTTTATGCTACAGAGCCTTTGGTTTCATAAAATACATAATGTTCTGGATGTTTTAAGTAGTTTTATACTCAAACATTAAAATTTTAATGTCTGCAAAAAATGTAATAACTCTGGAGAAGAGGGTTAAATGTAAAAATAACTGGAGGAGAAAAGGGTTAATCAGGCACTGGAATATATGCCTGCAAAATCCTTGATTGTGTGCAATTGTACCTGGAAGAATTAATGTGGTGCGAAGACACAATAAATATTAATTTGACTGATAAAGTTTATGTGGAGCTTTGTCATAAGATAAATCTGTGTAATATTTTTATCCTACACTGCAGGGGCTGTCTAGAGCTAGGTTACAATGGCTGTAACTTATCACCTTGAACTGTTTCCTGAACATAAAGTGACTTTACTTTTATTCAAAGATGTTAAAAATGCATCAGGACTAAGAAAGAAAGCAATTGATGGAACTATTGATGGCGCTTTACTGAATCCTGCAATGGTAAGAGGTTAAATTGTTGCTGTATATAATCCTTAACCGCTTCCCGACCGCCCTTTAGCAAAAATACTGCTACAGGGCAGCACGGGTGCGCAAAATCATGTATATATACGTGGTTTTGCATTTCCGGGTAGGGGGTGCGCGCGCCCTACCCATGCCACCATTCACTGCCACGGGTGTCAATCACCGGGTCCCAGTTGGTGATTACTCGCCGGCGCCCGGTGATTACCAAGGATCACCGACAGGGAGGAGAACTGTTTTGTTTACTAACAGTAATCCTCCCTGTCAGCTCGGGTACACTGCTTTGGATGGCTGTGCAAAGCACAACCATCCAAAGCAGCGTGCTTACAGAGAAGCACACAGACACTGCCCCCTAGTAAAACGCACATAGTTAACCTTTTCATCGCCCCTCATGTTAACCCCTTCCTGCCCAGTGCCATTAGTACAGTGTCAGTGCTTTTTTTTTTTTTTTTTTTTTTTTTTTTTTAGCACTGATGACTGTATTGGTGTCACTGGGGATGTCAGTGACACCAAGTCAGTTCCCTCCAGTGTCGGAATGCCCACCACAGTCCTGCTATAAGTCACTGATCGCTGCCTTTACTAGTAAAAGAAAAAAAAATCCCAGTATATAACTTTCACTTAAACCAATTAATTTATTATTTACGTATTGGGATTTTTTTTTTAGCAAAGACATGTAGCAGAATACATTTTGGCCTAAATTTATAGCAAAATTTGATTTTTTTAAAAAATTTTTACTGGACATGTTTAATAGCAAAAAGTCAAAAATAATGGGTGTTTTTTTTCTCAAAATTGTCTTTTTTTTTTTTTTTTTTTTTTTTTTTTAATAGCATAAAAAATGCACAGGTGATCAAATGCCACCAAAGAAAGCTCAATTTGTGTGAGAAAAAGGATGTACATTTCATTTGGGTGCAGCGTTGCATGACCGCGCAATTGCCAATTAAAGTAACGCAGCGCCGTAATGCAAAAAATGGCCTGGTCAGGAAGGGGGGTAAATCCTCATGAGGGCAAGTGGTTAAATACATTTCCTTACTGTTTTGTTTACTTATGCAAGTTCTAATACTTACACCCAATGTCAAAATGTGCCACACTCTCTCACCCCTCACACATTCCCAGAAATCCCAGAACTTTGATCGAGAAAACCACTTGTGTAATCTAATGTTTATGCAGTGCAAATTTCCAAAGTACTCATGATTTTGGTGTGGAACCATTCACAGAAATGCTGCGGTTTACTTCCAGGATTTCGATGCACACACCTGCAGGCACATATAGTATGAAAAAGCACACTGTTTCTGTAAATGCAAAGAACGAACTTCAATGTTCCACAATGCTTTAAAAGAGAAGTATGAGGTTAGCAAAAAAAAAAAAAAGTTATACTTAACTAAGTGGATGCAGCATCAGTCTGATGCTGCTTCTGTCCCCTGCTGCTTCTAAGACTGCTGATTGCTCGGTTCTCAATCTTCAATGAGCAGAGAGCCAGTGACTTTAAGTCACTGGCTCTCTGCTCTGCCGCTCCAGTGCTCACTGAAGTGCTTGGCTGTGCAGGGGGTGAGAGTGGGCTGGCTCAGCCTCTCAGAAGCTTGCTGAAAGGCTGAACCAGCTGCCTATTCAGGTATCTGGGTGGATCCCGACTGTACTGGGTGGATCCCACATCTACTGAGCATGCTCAAGTTTATTCCATTCTTAGCTGTTCATTTCTTTCTTTTTTGTATCTGTGCAGCTCACATGATCATAGAATCACACATGTGGGCGCGGATAAATGACACCACACTCTGTCCCTCCTCCTCCATGCCCGCTAAACACAATGGAGGCAGAAATTACATGTTGATTGATAGAGGCTTCACCTCACTGTAATTCTAAGTGCATACAAATAATAGACATTTATTTGATGATAATTATGTATTTTTCCTTTGCATTCCAAAGTTAGTTTATTGCTTTTTTTGGTTGTGGGTTTTGTTTTATGGTGTTTTTTTTATGTTTACCTTCAGGCTGGAAAAGAGCTGGGACACATGAGAGCAGTATATCAATTCTTTTATTAAAATAAATACAGTACCATCATCCATATACTCAAAGAGAAGAGATCATGTAAATTAACCTCTTGACACCAACACCTCCCGGCCCTTTAACAGTTTCAGAAGCCAGGGCGGGGTTTTAGGGTCATGTGACCGCCGTGATTTGCCATCACGGCGGTCACATGATCGGCAAAGGTCTTGATCGAAAGGGGAGATCGGGACCTTTCTGGGAGTCGTGGACAGATATGCTTGGAGCGTGCAGGGCACGTTCTCTCAGCACATATGTATTTTCTAATTGCACACAAATATGCGGTCGCTCGGCGTCAAGCCCCAGACGCTGAGAGGCTACACATTTCCGTGCGATCAGCGTCGAAAGGGTTAGACGGCTCAGGGATTTTTTATTTTCATTATCAAAATTGGATGGACAGATCAAGGGAGAAAATATGATGATATCCATCTCCCAAGATTCATCTGTGAGGCCTAGGCAACATGTGGTTTGGAGAATAAATGTATATTTATCTTCACAATGCAAGATGTTTTAGCACAGTATATTGTGCTATCAGATTTTAGCACAGTCACCATGTTTGACAGTTAGCATTATGAGTTCTGCTCCTGTTTCACTTTTTAATTGTAATTGCTCTATAAAGTAAAAGATCGTGTTCTGCGATTCTGTAAAATATACAACACAAAACATTTTGCTGCATAATATTTCATAATTGGTAAAATTGTATGATATTCCATTTAACATTGGTGGATACTTTAGTGTTTGAAGTACTATTAAAAGGAAATTGTACTCTACTAAGCCAGCTAGTACTAGCCTAAACTTCCAAAAGATTCATATTTTTTACCAAACTGCTATCAGGTAAGATTCGTTAAAATAGATTTATGATAAAAAGTAATCCAACCAATTATTCGGTAACTGTCAGCATCACCAAATTATTACGTTTTTAAACATGAACACCTGTTGATTTGATTAAGTACCTATATCCATGAAATTTTAAAGTGCCTTTTAGTTACCCTTTACCAGATTTTTGTAAAGCGCTGTGCAAACTGTTGGTGCTATATAAATCCTGTATAATAATAATTTTTATTTTTTATCTTTGGAGATTGTAGATCCACTTCAGGTTCTTATTGCAGTAAACAAAGCTGTCCATTTACACCTGGTGGGAAAAATGAAAACAAGAAATCTTAACTCAGAAATTATATTCAATTTATCACCAACAAACAATGTAAGTATGGCTGTAAATCTAACACCCACAATGTAATGTATAGTTAATAGCTTTATTTCCAGGGAGTGAATGCAAGAGAAATCTTTGTGTTCCACAAATACAAAAAGTTGGCTGTTTAGTGTAAAACATAAATATATTTTGTTCTACTTCTCCCTTAGTGGTACATCTTTACCTGCCTAGATGCCTATTTGCAGTCTTTCAGACAGACTATTTTTTCTTAGGAGTCTATACCACTTTATCTCATATATAGAACAGGAATGAGGTAGGATTTGACACTTCAGAAAGTACTGTTGTAGGCCTTGTGAAAAAGTTTCTTGCCAAAGGAAAGGGCTATACAAAACAAGTAACTTGTAGGCCTCATTCACACTGGCACTGTCAAACCTACATTTATATGCATGTGGAGGACATTTTTTAAACATATAAAAATCCATGTAATTATTTTTCAACCATGTCATTTAAACTGCATATTTACTTGTATTTAGGTGCAGTCACTTTAGCTGTGTTTAGAAAAAAAATTGAATTCTATGCTTCCAGGATCTGATTAGAAACTCTAAGGGCAGGTTTACACCAGGAATTACACAGGAACGTGCTGTACCTTCCTGTGCAATTCACACGCAGTTCTGTGTGGTGTGATTTCAGCCCATCTATGTGGATTGGGCTGAAATCGCACTTCACCGTAGCAAAAGTAGCACGTACACTCCTTTTTGGAAGCTCACTGCAACCAGATCACATAGAACTTCTGTACCATGCGATTCAGTGCAGGCAAACACACTGCATGTGCAAACTGTGTTTGGGGTTTCATCAACTTATTGACACCCACTGCAGATTGCAACTGCAGTTCATTTTTTTGTTGTGTGGGAAACGCGCATGGAACGCAGGTTTCTCGCACCGCGTTCTGGTGTGAACTGGCCCTACATGCATACAAACATGGCTAAACCTGCTTTAAAGCGGTAACATCTAAACACAGGAAAAAGTTATCTTTGAAACATAAAAGTTGTTTCTACTTTTTAGATTACTTCTGCATTTAGAAAAGCTAAACACAGGACTGCCAGTGTGACTGAACCCTTAAACTACATTCACAGCGCAGTGATTAATGGAGTGCGAATTGTAGTGGCAGGAACCTCCTCTTCTTACAGGAGGAGGTGGCCCGACCCTTGACTTTGCTAAACAAAGTAACTATTTGTATATCGGGGCCCTGGAGCAGAAGAGGGAAAGAAAGGGCTGACTTGATGCTTTACAGTATTTTTGGATAGAGACATTTTCTCTGAAGTGGAACTCTGTCCAAAATGTTTTTATTAGTTTTTAGATATGGATAGAGTAGGGTAGAGTAGAACCTCTGTCAGATTTGTTTTTTGATTTCTATATCCCTGCTTGCAAAATATTCTTACTACTTTCATATCATCAGGAAGTCGGGTCATGAACAGCAATGAAATCTAGACTCTGGTTCTAGCCCTCTAAAGTTCTGCTTTAAAGTGGAAGAAAAGGCTAATAAAACTTTGCCTAAAATTATTGCCTTCGCTGTCCTCCTACCTATGCTGCATACTGTTTGTAAAAGGAAGCATCATAAATTTTTTATTTCATCTTATGTACAGTCACGTAATTCAGAAGCAGTGCCTCCCCTGTGTCAAGGAGCGCTCGACAACAGAGCTGAATTCATGGAGCTGTGATGTCATCCGCCAGTTTTATGGCCCCTCCTTTGTCAGTACTCCCTCTCAATGCCTGCAGTAGCAATTCTCTGACAACAGGGAGCCAATGCATCTGAGTCACATGGTTACAATCAAGCTAAATAAAAAATAGGTATTTTCATTTCTCTCCTTCATAAACCATATGTGGTATAGGTATGAGGAAGTGGGAGGCAACATTTTAAGTAAGCTTACACTCACCAGCCACTTTATTAGGTACACCTGTTCAATTGCTTGTTAACACAAATTGCTAATCAGCCAATCACATGGCAGCAACTCGATGCATTTAGGCATCTAGACGTGGTGACAACGACTTACTGAAGTTCAACTCGAACATCAGAATGGGGAAGAAAGGGGATTTAAGTGCCTTTGAACATGGCTTGGTGTCAGGGCTGGGCTCCTGCTACTTAACGAGCAGCTCTTTTCTTTCAGTGCTCAGAAGCTGCTCAGCTGTCACTTAACTTCTTGCCGACCGCACATAGCCGAATGACGGCTTCACCGCGGCTGGCCAGTTCTGAGTGGACGTCATATGACGTCCTCCCAGAACGCGCTCTCCTGCGCGCCCCAGGGGGCGCGCACCCGGCGATCTCCGTGATCGCTGTGTCCTACGGACACAGCTGATCACGTGATGTGGTGAAAGGCCGATCCCACCGGCCTTTTACCACGTGATCAGCGGTGTCCAATGACACGCTGATCACAGGGAAATGCAAGTGCCGGTTCTCGGCTGCACTTTCCTCACGCTGTCAGATCGTGAGGAAAGTACTGCCGAGAACCGGCAGTTGTCAGAGCGGGGATCGGCACCGATCATCAGGGCACTGATGATCAGTGCCCTGATGATCGGTGCCCAGCAGTGACACCCGCAAGTTCCGCCCAGCAGTGCGCCCACTAGCCCCGCCCACCCGTTCCCAGCAGTGCCCCCACCTGTGCCCAGCAGTGCCCCCACCTGTGCCCAGCAGTGCCCCCACCTGTGCCACTCTGCAGTGCCACCTACCTGTGCCCAGAAGTGCCACCTACATGTGCCCAGCAGTGCCACCCACCTGTGCCCACCAGTGCCACCCACCTGTGCCCACCCACCAGTGCTGCCCACCAGTGCCACCCACCAGTGCTGCCAGTCAGTGCCACCAGTCAGTGCCCAGGGGTTGTGCCAGTCAGTGCCGCCAGTCAGTGCCCAGAAGTGATGCCAGTCAGTGCCGTCTATCAGTACCCATCATCAGTGTCACCTATCAGTGCCGCCTATCAGTGCTGCATATCAGTGCCGCCTATCCGTGACCCCTAATTAGTGCTGTCTATCAGTGCCGCCTATCCGTGCCACCTCATTAGTACTGCCTATCAGTGCCCTTTAGTGCTGCCTATCAGTGCCCATCAGTGCCGCCTATCAGTGCCCATCAGTGCCGCCGCCTCATCAACGCAAATCAGTGAAGGAGAAAAAATACCTGTTTGAAAAATTTTATAAAAGAAACAAATAAACTTTTTTTTTTTTTTTCAAATTTTTTGCACTTTTTTTAATTTATAGCGCAAAAAGTAAAGCGCCCAGTGGCGATTAAATACCACCAAAAGAAAGCTCTATTTGTGAGAAAAAAATGATCAAAATTTCATATGGGTACAATGTTGCATGACCGCGCAATTGTCAATCAAAGTGCGGCAGCGCTGAAAGCTGAAAATTGGCCTGGTAAGGAAGGGGGTTATAAGTGCCTGGTAGGCAAGTGGTTAATTACCAGATGCTCGTCTCCACAGTGACTCACCTAGATACCATTATCTGAGGGGTGTTCTTGATCCTCATCCTCAGATGTACTTGCTGCTGCCCATCTCTGTGATTTCCATTTACTTTTTTCCCTGAAGCCTGGTGCCCCCCCCCCCCTTCCCCCAGGTGGAGAGGTCGTTAAGGAGGGGTACAGTCAGGGCTGGGCTCCTGCTCCTTAACGAGCAGCTCTTTTCTTTCAGTACTCAGAAATCGGTTAATTACCAGCTACTCATCTCTCCACAGTGACTCCTGGATACCATTACCTGCCTCGTTAGTCTAGCCTACAGCCAGCCCTTCTTGCTATTTTAGCAGCTTATGTCTATGAAATACCTACAGCGCAATGGATCTCTTATACATCAAATATTGCAGCTAGCATGTATTGTGTTCCCACATATAAACCATAAATCAAAAAAATGCAGCGCAGTACTATAAACTCAAATAAAGTACTAAATAAATCAATATACATATGTGAATAGAATCGTGCTTTGTGACAATAATATGTGCTACATTAAATGAATATCAACACATATATGTAAATAAACTACATATACCAGTGCTAAATAATAATGTATCCAAATACCAAATGAATTATATAAACGGTGAACTGTCCCTTTCATACTCCAAAATTTTCTCATGTGCTTATGTGATATGCCTCCTCTGTGCATCATATACCATCAAACGCGTGTCCCAAAAAAAAAAAAAGGTATCAGATTGCTGGTGAATTGTCCCTTTAAGACCACTGTGCTCCAAGTGTGAATATACACACACACAGGTTGCTTCTGTGTCACCGCTTCTGTGTTGTCCACCTCCGACACACTATTGCGCTCACCTTCTGGTTTGACCTGAATATTCAACGTGTTGTGCATTCAGAGATGGTGTTCTGTACACTTTAGTTGTAACGAGTGGTTATTTGAGTTACTGTTGCCTTTCTGTGATCTTGAACCAGCCTGCCCCAGTCTGAACCAAGTAAAAAATAATATATACACAAAACAGGCTAGACAGATGATATCCTAATACTCGACGTGCTTCATCAGCTTTCACTTCTCCAGGAGACAGTAATATTCCATAGAATGTCTGTGGAGAGGCCATATCAGTTAATTTAAAAAAAAAACTACCAAAACTCACTACATGGAGTAGTTTCGCCAAGAAAACAAAACCGTCAGAAACAAAACTTACTAAGTATAATGTACATCAAAGTTACATATTCTTTTCTGGCAAACAACGTTGGGAGACAATGGGAGAGGAGGCACGGGGCATGCTCATTTTGAGAGCTGTGGAAAGGGTAGGGAGCCACCACACAGAGACCATATCAAGAAAAAGTTGGGCCAGATTGAATAGGATCAAATGATTGACTGAAAACAAACAAAACTGCGTCCAAAAGTACATGGTCTACTAAAAAAATATAGTTCATATAAAAATAAAAAAAAAGTGAACTATGTCATGGGCCACCACTAACAAGTGCACTAAATAGAGACCCGAGAAAAACAGACAGGGCCATAAAAACTGGAGAATCAGAGAAAGTGCCAAAACACCAGAGTGCTATAGGAAGAGTTCCTGAATGACTGTCAGAGACCTAAGTAAAAAGTGAACTATGTGATCCTCGATAAAGGATCGAGAATAAAGAAAAAAACACTGTGTGTGAACAGTGAATAATCCAAGTAGAACATAGAAAAAGAAAAAAGACCAAACATAATTGATCAAGTCTCACAATAGGGTAACCCAACCAATGAAATTACACAAGAGTATATATAGCATAGCAGAAGCATACCTGAAGGTGGAGATCTCTCCTGTTGTATCCCAACGTTGTTTGCTAGAAAAGGATATGTAAATTTGATGTACACAGACTGTACTTCGTAAGTTTTGTTTTATTATTAACTGACATGGCTTCTCCACAGATATTCTATTACTGTCACCTGTAGAAGTGAATGCTGATTCATAAAACGCGTTGAGTGTCAGGATATCATCTATCTAGCCTGTGTTGTGTATATATTATTTTGTAACATAATTTTCATATATTGACATGCCCATTGGCATTTTATTGTGTTTTTAATTATATTTTATACAATACAATTGAATTGTTTTTTAGAGACAAATATCTGTTGATTTGTTGTTTTAAGTGTAGTCTCTTTAAAATCCCTTGGGCAATTTAAGTAATTGAAAGTCTTCATAATTTAGGGATTGAGCTACACTCCATTCACTGTACCTGGGCTGTTTTTTTTTTGGTTGCTTTAACATTGCAATGTGTTCACTGTACTCCAATGGCCTCTACAGTAACCAGATCTCAATCCAATAGAGCACCTTTGGGATGTGGTGGAATGAAAGATTGGCATCATGGATGTGCAGCCGACAAATCTGCCACAATTGTGTGATACTCTCATGTCAATGTGGACCAAAATCTCTGAGGAATGTTTCCAAAACCTTGTTGAATCTATTCCATAAAGAATTAGGGCAGTTCTAATGCCCTGTCCGGTACTAGCAATCGCCTAGCCTTTACTTTTTTACTTAAAATAATTTCCCTAGTATTTTAGCATAATTGTTGCGCTAGATGAGCAAAATACAGATTTGCTTCAAATCATTTTGAGCTTTTGAAAAATATTTAGCATTGTGGCCTCTAACAGGCAACAGCCATAATACTGAACAGTGCAGTCACTTATGGCCTCAAAAAGCTTGATCACATACTGTATTTCTTAATCCTTGTTGTCACTTCCCTCATAATGGCTCCAGATTTCCTGTGTTTTCTGAGGCTGAACTGAAGGAGCTGTCTGCTCTTCCATCATGTGACAGAAACAATATTTTTTTTCATAAAAGGGAAGCCATTAAAACATCTCTCTCTCCCCTTGGTCTGACAATATTGAAAAAGTGGCCCCTTTAGTTTCAGAATTCATTTTGGCAATAGCTGTTTTGTCCCTTGGTTAAAGAACATTAAGAGATTTCTGCTTTGAAAAATGGACTCCAGTTTCTAACCAACCTAGAACAGATAAACATACATTGGCAGCTCCAAGATACTGAATTCATTTGTTATTTATTTGGATTTTTAAACAAAATATGTGTATATGGACACATTGCAATTCGGTGAAATTCACAGTATATTTGAACTCTCACCTTGTAAAACAACCCATTCAGTTTAAAATAGAAATGAAAGGCAAACCATTTGTGTATACATATGGAAAATTCTAAATACATATTTTCTTATTTTATAAGTGATCACATACCCTCTGTTCTCACCTGCATAAGAGCTGGGGGAGGAGAAACAGCAGCACCCTGATCTTCCCAGTGAATAGCTGTGGGGGGGGGGGGGGGGGTTCAGCACAAGCCTAATTATTGGATTAGCTCCTGGCACAGCTAGAAAACTGACCAATCTAGTATGGCCAGTTTTTAATAGGAAAGTAGAACACCAGAGATTTCACACAAAGGAGGCAATACAAATGGAACAGGATGCTTTTTCATACAAGTACATGGTACAGCAGGCACATATCAGGAATATGAAATGTTGGGTTTACATATTCTTTAATATCCTTTTAAAAGGTATCCAGCTGTGTAGGGGAATTCACCCCACTTTTGTTTTGTGCTGGGGGAAAAATGAGTTTCTTATTTTTGTGGAACCAACTGTGCACAAAAATAACTCTGACTCCAAGCAGGACTTTCTAATTGGAGAAGTAAATGGAGAAAGTGCTGTTCTTTATAATTGCCTTAGGGTTGCGATGGAATATAGAGAGGATTATACATAATTTTAATTGACCTTTATTTGAAGCCATTCCCTTTCCTTGCTTCTCTGTACTTGGAGCAAGACAGCATAAACTGGTATTATTTTAAGAACAGAACTGTGTTTTGTTTCTATTCTTAGTTGTTATTCAGCTGAATGTATTCATTTGTTAAACAGATAATGTCATTGTACTTTTGTCTTGTACAATATTTTACAGCTGTGTGTGTAGCCTTTTTGTATAAACAGCTGCGTGGTTCAACCCAGGCCCAATGTAAGGGAACATAAAAAACAGTTGTGTAGTATGTGTGCATTTTTATGCAGCACAACTCGCTGCACCTCTAGTCTTCACAACACGTTGAGGTACATAGAGTGTTTTACCACACAGTAAGTGTGAACAAGCTCCAAAGTTAAAGTGGTTGTAAAGGCTGAAGGTCTGTTTACCTTCATGCATTCCAAGCATTAGCATATTATGGCTAAAACCTTGGCTGCAGGAAGAAAAGTTTAATTCCACTTTAAAAAGATAAAATAACAGTGGGTCTGATGTTTGAAAAGTAGGCTAACAGGAATATTTTAACCAAAATCCACCTTTTCGTTTTCAACCAGGAATCTGAAATGCAAATCGGGAGAAAAGTCCTTTTTGCATTCATGTTCCAGGTTAACGGTGTCTCAATGTTTAGAAGAGTAAACATCAGCATGACAGACTGGAAACTAGAATTTTTAAGAGAGGCCAGCAGTGGAGGCCTCCATGTCACAAAAGATTCCCTTTATTATTTGCTTAAAGATAAAGCTGAACTTCAGGAAAATATACAAAAAGGTATTTTTTCATACAAAATAATTTGCATAATTGTTAAATGTAAATTAGCAGAGTTTTTCATGATGTCAGCCTCTTTGAATGGCAGCAGTGAGACAGAGACAAAGGGGTCCAGTTGTACCAGGCTGTATTGCTTAGCTGTGATTACTGTGGCTTGATTTCTGGCCAGGGTGTCCAAATCTCAAGATTGGTTGAACACAGAAGTCCTTTGGCGGAGAAAACAGTTCACATAAGGCATATGCATACAACTTTGTGCTTAGCTGTTAGCTTGGAGTTTAGCCTTTGTTACAATGCAAGGCCCTGCTGTGGGTTGGCACTAATGCAGAGTACGGGGATCTGGCATGTTTATTGTGAGGGGAGAAGACTGTGTTTACAGCTTTTCCTGGGTTTTGTAATCCGGGATTGGGGCCTGGAGCATGAAGGCTTCAAAATGTTTTGGGTGGGATGAAGCCTTCAATCGTGTGTCCGGGTCTTGCTAGAGACCTGCAGGCCTTGTGAGTGCACAGGTGTGCAGATTTGTTAGAAGTCAGCCTGACAATAGCTCAAAGCTCTCATTTAAAGACAGAGATAGGTGTGTGCTTCAGCCAGTAGACGTGAACTAATTGGAGACAAGGACTCCATGTTGGAGACAATCCCTACCTGCAGGACTGGGAGAGTTGGGACCGCTGAGCTAGTCTGCAGGACTGAGAGATGTGAGGCAACTAGCGAGTCTGGGGGAATGGAAGGAGTCTGTAAGGCTCTGGAAGAGTGAATGAGCCCAGTATACCTGGAGAACCCCAAATGAGAGGCCAGACACGGGGCCTGGGTAATTTGGTGCTGCAAGAAAAGACTGAGTGAGCCAAGAAAGCCAGAGAGCTGCAAGCTGGACTACAAACTGAGAGAGCCAGGTGGCTTGGTACTTTCTGTTATCTGTTTTTGCTGGAGAACAACCCCTGCATGGTCGACTCTGTCTGTGGACTTTTCCTTTTTTTTGCTTCATAAAAGAAGTCCGGAAAGCTTTTAACCACAGTTTGGACTGGCACAACTCAACACCAACACCACTGAACTAAAGTTCCCCCATATCACACCTTACAGTATTTACATTTTGCTAATCACATTGTAAACATGCAGATTCATAAAAATAAACAATACTTTCCACTGAAATGCTATACAATCAAAGCACTTCTGGACAAATAGTCTTCTTCCTTTCTCTACATGAGGAAATGAACCTGTATAAACACGATATGTCTAAAAAAAGAAAGCTTACTAATGTCTTTTCCATTTAGATTTCGGAAGCTTTTAGAAAGTTTGGCCTGTCAGACAGCGATTCTGGAGTTCTTGTTGTTTTAACTGACGATGGGACTAAAGCCTTGAATTCTCAAGAAATAACCTCTCACGTGGACGGCCAGCAAGTACCTCTAGCAGAGCTGTCACAACTAACAGACATCACGAAAGTGAGAAAGGTACTTGGAGGCATTAGACGAGTACTTTTATTTTGAATGTATTGATTGGTACTGGTTGGAATACCATTGGAGAGATCTGACGTAATCGCTCATGTGTACCCTGTTATCTGAATTTCAAGAAAGTTCTACAGGACTCTTGTCACAAAACTGTTCAATAAGAATAAAATATAACTCTGTATAACTCCCTTACGCTGGCAATGTATCTTAGTGTGCAACCAGCCAGTCTTTCCTCAGGACAATCACTTCTTCCTCTTTCATGATATCCAATATTTGAAATGTCATTAAACCCAAAATCTTAAAAAATGTATTTTCATGCTATTTTGCATTTCATACATAGGGAATTAATTATTATCAAATTAGATGTATGCTTGCCTGTGTCCCTGCTGTAGCATGATATTCTATGGCTCAGCCGTTGCCATTTTCACTGTGCATATTTCAGCACTGGGTGCAGTGAACAGGCAAGCTGTGCAGAAAAATGAAGACAGCTCAGACTTCCCTATATGCCATAGTAGATTTTCTCACAGATGTAGATGCTAGCAGCTTCTCCCACTGATTGTTCCCCGTGGATAGGAAAGATCATGTGACTTCTCTACAAAACAGCAAAATTAAAGTGTTACTAAACCCAGGACCCTGAATTCTCTATATCTGGTCTCCCACAGTACACAGAACATGGAAATGCAATTATTTTAGTAAATATAATCTGCTAAATACCTTTTCTCATCAGCAGTTAGAGCAGTCTTGTGACTTGTACCAGTGTCCAGCCGAGCACTGGTTAAAGATTGTTAGAAGAGTTTTCATTTTCCTTTCACTGTCTTATGAGATTGCATAACCCCTGACCCTCTGTCTGGACAGTGCTGATTGGCCCTATGCTGATCACATGCACCCTCCCAATAAAAAGAAAAAACTAGCAGTACACACCAAACTGAGCATGTGCAGAGTGTCCCCCGAAACTCTGTTCTATCAGGAGATGAAATGGGGAATGTGGAACAAGGCGCAGATCAGAGAAGACAGGATCAAGCATCCTTTTTACACAGTTCAGAAGATTAACCCCTTAAGTTCCACAGTGAGTATAACAAGCATGCTTCACTGCATTTACAGATTGATTTTACTGTTGTGATTTTTGTAACACTTTAAGGTAAACAAAGGCTTTTTTTTTTTAAGCTTGACCTTTTTAAGTTTTACCCCCTTTATGACCAGACCATTTTTTTGCTATTCAACACTGTGCTACTCATTTTTTGCTATTCATGTGACAATGTGCACAAATTAATTTTATATATTTTTTTTTTTTTTAACACAAGTAGAGCTTTCTTTTGATGGTATTTGATCATTGCTGGGTTTATAATTGCTTATTATATTATAAGCAAAATAAAAGTGAAAATTTTGAAAAAGAATTATATATTCCACTTTCTGTTATAAAACATATCCTAGAAAAAAAATCAAATCAAAGTTTAGGCCAAAATGTGTTACATGTCATTGCTAATTTTTTTCTCAATTATTTTTACATGCTGTCACCAGTGCAGTACAGCGTCGTCATATTACTGGTGTGGCAGTAATCAAGGAGACTGACTGGTGACAGTAAAAAAAAAAAAAAAAAAACTTAAAACATTTTTTTAAATAATTTTTAAGTTAATTCAACATTTTTTGTAACATACTTTTCTTTTTTTTCCTTACTTTCATTGGCGTAGTTCAGTGTCACCATAGTAAGACTGTACTACTCTGGGGGGTTGATCAGGGGTTATTTTTTTTTTTTTTCATTGCTGTTGCAATGATGATCACTGTAACAGCAATGTTTTGAACTGTCATGAATGGGTTACATTTATAATAGCTGTGATTGGCTACAGCTAATCACATGGTATAGGCTGCTGTGATTAGTCCAGGTACCATGTGATAGCTGTGGGCCAACCACAGCATCACTCTATAGGAAGCACAGCTGTTATGAATGAGATTCATTCATAACAACATTGCTGACATTGTGATCATGTGATTGCATAGCGTTACATGATCCCCAGGCTGCTCAAAGCAGCTGGGCACTGGGAGCCACAATCAACTGGTATTTACAGATAGCATTTTCAGATGGAAGTAAGTAATAACAGCCTCCATATTTCTCCATGTAGGTATCCTTTAAACCAGAATTATCTAGTATTTAATCCAGCACAAGCTTTCACGGCTTGATTAGTTTTGAATTTGTAAATAATTTGAATTTTAATAGCAGTGTCTTTATTTGCAGATGTATAAACTGACCACAGAAGAAGATAAAATTGGTTCTGTATTGGACGCTGTAATCTGTAGAATGGCAGTGAAAGATATATTGTGAAGAATGTATTAATGCAAAACTCCAGAGAACTGGTGGGAACATTCATTTGTACTTTATATATTAGTATTGTGCTTTGTACAGTTACATTTATAATCTATTGTTTTTGGAATAAAAATAGTGAAATTCTATGTTTTAATAATTTTCTACATTTTTTATTGATAATTAATGTTTTACTTTCAATTGAAGTTCACAGTGAACACATATAGCTTCAGTCTCACAAGTTACCTGCTTAAACAATGCACATAATCAGATTTGGGCAGATAAAGTTCTAGCAAATTTTCACGTTTCTTCAAAATATGAGGAAGAAAAAAAATAGAACTTAACTCCACTCCCACTTAAGAACGAATCTGGAAGCACCAGATGAATTTTTGTTTTAGTTTTGGGTGGAATTGAGAGAATTAGAAAGCCTGCTGTTTTGTTTTTTCTTTTATTGCTCTCTGTACCCACATTAGGGAGATTCATCCTCTGTTTTTTCCACACCAGGACAGGAAAAGAGGGGAAATCTTTCATTGAAGAGACTGGTTCTGGTGACAAAAGGGATTCCCTTACTTTCGGGGAATTTCATCTTGCTTCCTGTACTTGCTAGGAGCAGGGACTGGAAGTGAAGGGAAATCTCCCCATGGGAACATATGGCTAAAAAACTGACATGGATTAAAACCTCCCCTTACTGTATCTTAAATGGAAAAAAAAAGGTTTTGTCTTCATTTACACTTTTGCACTTTATACAATCCTGGGTTACCCAAGAGTGAAGGAACATTTATCCAGTGGGGACACAGACAGTAATAAAGGCCCAACAAAAGTACAAAACCTTCCCCACTACAATAAAAATTAATAAAATAACTTGGAGTTCTATATTAAATTTTATGATTATACCAATATCTTAAGGTACTGCCACTTGCCTTCACAAATACCCACTCCATCCATTCTAGCCAACATCCTATGTACTGGAACACAGGAAGGGGTCCAACTTTTTCAAAGCCCTGACTGCCTCTTGAGTCTCATTCATCTGCAGAGTACAATTAATCCATCTGAGCAAACTGTGTAAATGTAGTAATCTAACCAATGACAATAATAGCAGTACTTGTGATCATGAAGGGACTAGTGGGTAGTAATTTGTAGGTGCACCAGTTGGAGGGAGATAGCACACATGAGCATGCTGTCATAGTCCACAATGCCCAGCAAGGTAGCTACAATAATGGGTAAAAGATACTATACATATTGCCTGGTACCATGCAGAATCCCCATTTCCCTTTTACTTCAGTACATACTGTATGTCTTCTGCTTGTGGGGAACAGCATCTAGAGATCAAATTATCATCAGCCAAATTGTGCAGTATTGCTTTTCTAACATCTACCAGCTAAATAATGCTGAGTGTGTGTATATACAATATATTCCCAAAAGTATTGGGATGCCTGCCTTTACATACACATGAACTTTAATGGCATATCAGGCTTAGTCCATAGGGTTCAATATTGAGTTGGCCCACCCTTTGCAGCTATATCAGCTTCAACTCTTATGGGAAGGGTGTCCACAAGGTTTAGGAGTGTGTCTATAGGAATGTTTAACCATTCTTCCAGAAGTGCATTTGTGAGGTCAGACACTGATGTCGGTTGAGAAGGCCTGGCTCGCAGTTTCCGCTCAGTCAACAGTCATGTTGGAACAAGAAGTGGCCATCCCCAAACTGTTCCCACAAAGTTGGGAGCAAGAAATTGTCCAAAATGTCTTGGTATGTTGGCGCTTTAAGAGTTCTCTTCACCGATATTAAGGGGCCAAGCCCAACCCCGGAAAAAGGACCTCACGCCATAATCCCCTCTGTACCAATCTTTACACTTGGCACAATGCAGTCAGGCAAGTACCGTTCTCCTGGCAACTACTAAACCCAGACACGTCCATCGGATTTGCCAGACAGAGAAGTGTGATTCGTCACTCCACTGAACACATCTCCACTGCTCCAGAGTCCAGAGGCAGAGTGCTTTACACCACTTCATCCGACGCTTTGCATTGCACTTGGTGATGTAAGGCTTGGATGCAGCTGCCCAGCCATGAAAACCCATTCCATGAAGCTCTCTACACACTGTTGTTGAGCTAATCTGAAGGCCACACAAAGTTTGTAGGTCTTTAGGTTTTGACTCTACAAACAGTTGGCAACTTTTGCTCACTGTGAGCTTCAGCATGCGCTGAGCCCGCTCTGTCCTTTTACGTGGCCTACCACTTCGTGGCTAAGTTGCTGTTGTTCCCAGTTACCTCCACTTTGTTATAATACCACTAACAGTTGGCTGTGGAATATTTAGTAGCAAGGAACTTTCATGGATGGACTTATTGCACAGGTGGCAACCCATCATGGTACAATGCTTGAATTCAGTGAGCTCCGCGGTCATGCAACATTGTACCCATATGAAATTTTTATCATTTTTTCCCACAAATAGAGCTTTCCTTTGGTGGTAATTAATCACCCCTGGGTTTTTTATTTTTTGCACTATAAATGAAAAAATACCGAAAAGTTTGAAAAACAATAAGGTTTCTTTGTTTCTATTATACAATTTTGCAAATAAGTAATTTTTTTTTATAAATTTAGGCAAAAATTTATACTGCTACATAACTTTGGTAAAAAAAAAACTAAATCAGTGTATATTATGTACTCTGTGTGAAAGTTATAGAGTCTACAAGCTATGGCACCAATCATTGCAAATTGATCACACATGAAGCACTGATGGCCTATTTCATTTCTTGAGGCCCTAACATGCTAGGAAAGTACAAATAGCCCCCAAAAGACCCCTTTTTAGAAAATAGACAGTCCAAGGTATTTAGTAAAAGACTTGGTGAATTATTTGAAGTTGTAATTTTTTCCCACAATTCTTTGGAAAATTAATAAATTATTTTTTTTCACACATAATTGTCAAAAATAACAAGTTATTTCTCACACCTGGCATAGACATACTTGAAATTTCACCCCAAAACACATTCTGCTATACCTCCTGAGTATTGTGATACCACATGTGTGAGACATTTCCACAACCTGGCCACATACAGAGACCCAAGGTCTAAGTAGTACCTTCATACGTTGTAGGAGCATAGAAGTGGCATAAATTACACATCTAATTTCCTGACTATCACAGTTTTGAAGGCCCTGGAGCACCAGGACGATAGAAACACCCACAAAATGACCCCATTCTGGAAAGCAAACATCCCAAGGTATATTTTTTAAGGCATATTTGTGACGATCGCAACGTCAGACCCCTGACCTTCTCACCAAACTTGTGACCAAAGGACTAGCCAATCTGAAACCGCGATGTCACGTACGTAACAATGCCACACCCAGTTGCACCCCGCACAACGATTTTCCAGCTAATGGACCACCAATCGATGTACCTGCAGCCTGAATGCGATTGTTAGTGGGTCAGGTTAATTACGCAATTAACCCTTCACACTACCACCACCTCCTTTTTTTACAGAGAAAGAGGAAACTCGGCAATATTCGCAATAACACTATGATGGTTGAGATAATCGTCCGTATAGCACTGTCACCACAGACAGGTTATACAGAGGGTTAAACACACACAGTAGCGCTCTTTTAGAGGCGGGAATTCGTACATTTTCTTAACGAGACAGTTCAACACTTTCAGAAAGAAAGATTTATTACTAAAAGTTCAAAAGGGTACAATAAAAATATTTATAGAAAAAAAGATGTAACCAATATATATATATATATATATAAATATACAGAGAACAACAGCACAGCAAAGAGATAACAGATAGAAGTTAGAGGGTTAAAGTACTTGCCAAAGTCCTGGGTTAAGCAGACCAAGTTTCAGAGCAAAAGGGCACAGTCTCCCAAGGTGGTTCTGATGTTAAAAGGGAGAATTCTTCAACTTAACTTCTCTTAGGCCTGACAGCCCATTTTGTTGTCCCCCAGCAGGGGGTGTCTCTAAAGCCAAGGACCAATGCTCCATTTAGGGAAGGATGGTCTGGGAGGAGACTTAAACTAGAGCCAAAATCTCTCATAGTTCATATTTTGGCTCATAACTTTTCCTACGCACAAGTGACATTCCACCCGAGGGTAGATTACTATGCAGACTCATCTGAGGAACGGTTAGATATGAAATACATACTCAAAGGGTTCCAGAGATGTAATTTTCTGCTGTCCTAGGTATTCCAGTCAGGGAGTGTGACCTATCAAACTTTGTCTTCTCGTGGCAAATCTTAAGATTTACCTGGTTTTTATGTAAGTCTCTCATATTCCAAGATATGAGACATAGGGGAAAAATGGATTTTAACAGTGTTATCTAGTCTCGACTCCTCTGGAATGTGTTTGAACTCAGGGGAAGGCTTGGGTTATCTTTTTACGAGGTGCCAGATTACTCAGCTTCCCAGCCCCCCCGGCACCCAGCTTAAAGATGGTTTATAGCTCGGAGCTTCCTGCTGTGGCCTGACCGGCCTGTGACACTTCCAACACACACACACAACCAGATGTCACTGTGACTCTCAGAGAGGGAGAGAGAGAATGAGGGGGAATATGTTTGTACAAGATGGTTGACCCTTTGCCAACATGGAAGTTGGAGCCAAAATGGTTGAACCGCGTCCATCTCTGGGTGAACGCTTGCAACAATAATGAGTCTTTTGAACATGTTATTTTTTCCAAAAGTTTTTAGAAAATGTGGAAAGAAAAATGAAAACTTTTTTTTTCACACAAAGTTGTCAATTTATAAGACATTTTGTAACACACAGCATGTACATACTAAGAATTATGCTCCAAAATGCATTCTGCTACTCCTTCTGAGTATGGCAATACCACATGCGTGAGACTTTTCCGCAGCTTGGCCACATACAGAGACCCAACATCCAAGTAGCACCTTCATGCATTCTAGGAGCATAAAAGTTGCATAAATTACACATCTAATTTCCTGACTACCTATCACAGTTTTGAAGGCCCTGGAGCACCAGGACAGTGGAAACACCCACAAAATGACCCCATTTTGGAAAGCAAACATCCCAAGGTATAT